GGCACCAGTGAGAACAATCTCATCGAGTTTGCTACCATGGCTCTCGAGAATCCCTCCGGCTGGCAGCAGGTTCCCATCGCTGGCGCCGGCGGTGGTCCTGACGGCAACACCCTCGTAGCTTGGGTCGTTCAGATGCAGATCCTCGAGAACCACCAAAACGGCAAGGATACCCATCTTCGCGGCATCAAGATTTATTCTTTCGACAATGACTCCGCTCTTGGCCCCGGTCGCGATGGTAACCCTGTCGAAGATGTCCTCGACCTCATGGACACGGCCACTAGCCATATCAACCCCAGCTCTACTCGTTCGCGCCTCAGCAACTTTGGAGCTTCCAATTTTGAGTCTGGGGAGGGAGGTCTCGCCATCCCTGAGTTCATGCGAGAGCCTGAGATCCGCTAAAGAAACTATCTTAACCACCACGAACGGCACTATACTTATCTTGTGATCTGTCATGTTATGAACTCGGTAGCTACACGGCGGATATTGCCTTCCTTTTTCTTTTCTTTTTTCTGGGACTCGGTATTCATGACGGACTCGGAGTGCTTGGGTCACTCGCACAAGAAAAAGCATTTCGGTGGAGTTTGGAGTCAAAGACACTTGTTTGTTATCATGATCTGCGCCAAACGATGGCGGCACTGGTGCGATGGATTTGCTAGCATTACGAATTGCGCCTCAGCAACTGGCTAAAGTAGACGGATGAGAGATGATAGATACCAGAAATTACAGTGATTCGAAGAATTCTTTGAGTCTTGCTTTTTTCTCTCTCTTTCTGTTGCACAATGAACTGCATGCATTATTATGATAGATGATAAATTGCGACTAGTGATCCCTCTATAATTCATGTTATCCACGATATTATGCATGTTTCTCCCCTTCGCATCCTCCATCCATCAGCCACTGAAGTATTACGGCAACACCCGCTGTTTCTAGTGCCGAGGCCATCTGGGTGGTAACTTGTACTAATACGCCGGACCCCTCCCAAAACTCTATCAATCATCTGCCATGTCGTGGCCTTCATGTTCCTTTTCTCTCTTACATAATGCGCGCTGGCAAATCTTCCATATCGTCCATAACGCTGTCTGAATCGTCGGCGGCAGCCGATACCTCAGGGACGCCAGCGGATCGGAACCTGCTAGGCGTCTTTCGCTTGCGCGTCTGAGCCTCGTCAACCTCAGAGTTGTCCTCTGCGGGAGCCCCGGCCTGAACCTCCCCATCATCCTCAATTGGGTCCTGAGAAGGGGCCGCATGTCGGGCAGATCGACGGCTAGGCGTGGCTCTAGCCGGAGTAGATCTGGCAGCTGACTTGCGAGGGGGCTTAGGTGCCTTCGCTTTGCCCATACCTGTTCTCTTTGCAACGCGGGTTGCCTTGGGGGGAGCTGGCTCATCAAACACAGGTGTGCTGGTGGGCTTAGCGACAGGCACAGGCTCTTCTTTCATCGGTGCATCGACGGGCTCTTCAGGCTGTTCGGGCTCTGCATGATCTGCAGAAAGAGCTGGGTCAACCATTTCAGTATCCTCCATGGGAGCCAGGTCTGCAACTGCAGCAACGGGATCCATTGATGCCATCGGGGCTGGGTCGAAGTCCTCCATTGGTGCGATAGGCAAATCAGGATTGATGTTCTCATCAGGAATGCCGTATTCACCCTGCGGTTGTTCGGTTTCCTCCTCATCAGCCTCGTTAACAAATTCGGCGCTCATGTGGCTCTGACCATTGGCAGAAGTGTTGTTGTGAGAAGCGTGCGCGGTTGGGATACTGTTCACGAACTCCATTTCCTCCGCATCGTCGAAAAGAGCATCCTCGACATTAGGAAGCTCGCCAGTCTGGGCGTACAAATTAAGAAGGTATTGTGCAGAGTCTCGTACAGTCTTCTGTTCTGACTCGGGTACACTTTGCTTCAGGCGTCGCCAAAGAAGCATCTGCGTTGGCCGATGCCAGCTGTTGCGGAACTGTTTGTCAACCAGCCTCTGCCACGGAATCTTGGCTTCAATTGATGCGGATGAGCCTGAAATAGCCATGATCATGCGATACCGTTCTTCCTCAGGCATCGCGGCAATTTGACGACGGGCTTTCTCAAGACGGAAAGAAATAGATGCATCGGGCGCATGTGACACCAACTTATCCTTGCCATGAGTCTTGATGTTCATGGCCCTCCATTTGGTGATACACTGAAGTCGACTGCGAGTTCTCCCCATACGCTCACTGATGTTTTGCCAATCGATAAGTTCCTCATATGGCTTCTTGAGCAGTTCGCGGGTAGGTTGGATGATTCGTAACTCGTCAATGGCGGCCATGGCTTCCATTACATACTGTGTCAGGTTACCCTCTTCCTCCTCGTCCCAGGTATCCTTCCGCTGGGAGTCTCCGCAGATGATGTAGTTTCGATAACGATCCCGAAGATCTTCTGGGTGACGGTTGATGATACCCGCAATCTTGGACCACTTTGTTCCGTTAGCCTCAATAAGGTCACGGAGCTCGGCATCTTGCTCGCTAGTCCAAGTACCACGAGCAACGAAGTTGTGGAACTTCTTTCGGGTGATATTGATGATTTTCTGTCTGTGTCGGTCTGGGCATGTTGCAAAGATGCGTGCCCAAAGGGCGGCATGCTCATCACCAGCGGTTGTACCTCCAGGAGCATGGATCATAGCATTTAGTTCATGCTGCACCATGTTGCGCTCGACACGGTAACTCTCAACTGCTTGTGCAATTCGGCTGAGTTCCTCATCTGTGAATCTTCCCTGGGTGAAGCCAGCCATTCGGTTGCGTCGTCCGGTTGCTGGGTTGCCATATAGGTCGTCATCATCTCTGACTTCCATGTCTTGAGATGAGAGTGCACGGTTGGCTTCAGACTTTCTACGATTTGAAGCCTTCTTGGTGCGCTTTCGTGGCATTGGTGTCATGGCAGAAGGTGATGGGAGGTCGCCCTCGGGGACCTCAGGAGAAGGCGATTTCTCAAAAAAAGTAGGCTTTGCCTTCTTAGCCTTGCCTGATCGTGTTCGCTTGGCACTGGCACTTGGGGGGTTTGAGGCTTGAACTGGGCTTCCGGGAACATCATACACATCATTGCTTGTATGGGGACGCTGCGCAGATGTTGGAACTTCCATCTCCTCAGGGTGCACGGATGGGTCTTGTGTGTTGGGTTGGTTCTGGCCGTTGATGTGCGCATTCCACACGTCCCTGGCCACTTGTTCAAGCTCCTGGTGTTCTGTGTTCTCTTGCCCATTGATTGCAGAAAAGCCAGACACCTCAGTCTCCTGATCCTGGGCCTGCTTCACTGATGCATCAATGTCCATCTCGTCATGCGCGGCACTACCTTCTCTTGATCGAGCATCACGTACCTCGAGGCGTGCAGCACTGGGAGATTGGGGTGCATCCTCTGCGACGTCATCGTAAATGGAAGCTGGGCGAGCTGCGTCCCTGGTGCGAAGGAAAGAGGCAGCTTGGGATTCTTTAATGTCTGCTTCCTCAATTTGGCCATCTTGTGTTCCTGGTTCCACCAACTGTGATTCGATGTCGGCTGCCTCGTCGCGGGATCTCCGCTTCTTGCGTTGCTTGCCGTCAGTAGAATCCGAGGGGTTGCGCTTGCGCTTCGTTTGAGTAGCAGGAGCAACCGCATCATCATCAAGGTCAGCAGCCAAGTTGTCCAGAGGCTGAGATGGGAATATGGCTGATGTGTTATTTTCGATCAGGCTATCGGGAATTTCGACCGGTACCGTTGACTTTTTCTTGGATTTTTTGGACTTGCGCGAGGATCCTTGGGCAGCTGGCAGCTGTGGAGATTCACTCTCATTTATGCCCTTCTGTTTGCGCCCCTTCTTGTCGCGCTTGTGCTTTTGGGATTGAGAGGACGGCATGTCTTCCGACGTGGGCGCCTCAGGTGCCTGGTCTTCCTGGGACGCGCTGTCGAGTTGCGACGTGTAGGGGGCTTGTGTTGCGTTGCTGTCGAACATTTCGAGCGTACCAAAGTCTTGGTCCTGAACGTCGTCTTCTGGCCCAGACTGAGCATCGCCATCGTAGTTATCGAAACCGCTCATCTCGTCAATTGGCCGGCTTCCGGTGCCGACTTCGTCTTGGGTCAACTCGAGTGACTGCATTAGCTCTTCTGGAAGCTCTTCTTGGGGTTCGTTCTTGAGTTGCTGCTCGTTCTTGTGGCCTTGGTTGCCGTCGCGGTCTTGGTCGTTTTGCTTATCTGGCCTGTTGGACTGGGAGCCGGGCATAAGAGACCATAGGGTCGACGCGAGGCGGAAGTCAGGCCACTTGCTACTACCGTTGCCGTTGCCTGACATCGGTGAACAGCTTCGCGACGATAGCTTCTTTCTCGTCGACAGAACGCGAGTTGAGGATGTAGGGTAAGGGGAAATTGGAAGAAGGTGTGGGGCGTCACGAAAAAAACTGACGGCGTGGTTAACCTAGAGATGGTTGCTCCTGGCTCCCTTCGCGTTGTCGTGACATTGATCACGTGAGCCCCACACCTACCCCTTTCATCTGGTCTCTGCCTATAGCATACTTAGAGTCAAGGGATCAGTTACAAGAGATAAAGAAAACTCAAGACCGTGACCCTAGGAAACAACATAATATAAAGTTAGGGAACTTTTCACTGAGCTTATTTTAGTATCCTCTTCTCAAGCCTTGAGTTTTCTTGCTCCCCGAGGGTCAATCATGATGTGAAGATAATCTCGAAGCATTGAGAGTCAAATATGTACTGTTGTTGTTTATTACTCTAATCTAAAGAAATAGTACAGGTTTGTACGGAGTTATTTCGACACGTGCCAAGAAAATCTATGTAAGTCAGTCAGTTATTGTACAGGTCGCTTCATCAGACCCAAAAATATCCATCACCTGCGCCTGTCCTTCAACATTATTCCAGTCATACCTCATTCAGGCGTATGACCAGAGACCCCCCCCCCCAAAAAAAAAAAAAAAAAAAAAAAAAAAAACCAATAAATGCGTCGTTATTCACATTTACTTCCATGGAAGCAATCCAAAAACGCACACAGTTGCCTCAGTCATCTTCCTTCTCAGCCTCCTTCAGCTTCACTGTAATACCCTTGCGGTTATGCTCGATCTCATACTGTCCACCAAGAACCAGATCTTTGGCAACAAGCTCACGAGTACGTCCCAAGCTTTCGATATCGGCAATTCTTTGTATCGTGCCCTCCAGGTGCTTGTCAAAATCAGGCTGAGCACAAATTTCTCTAAAGGCTCGATGCATCGGAACGCTGCTCGCTCGAACATCTGCCTCACTGGTGATGCTGAAGAGGTTCAATCGATCGAGATCACGGATGAAGTCACAGCGAGTCATTATTTGCTGAGCGATGTGGAAAGGGTAGGTCGGAAGCACATGTCCAACAATAGGGTCGTAGGTCTCATGCTCTTCCATATCCTTTTCCTTGTCGACCAATGCCTTGGCCAAACACATGGCGGCAGCCTATGATTTGGTTAGTAACTTGTCTTCGTAAATGCAGCGTAGTACTTCTTCAAACTTACAGCCCACTTCTGTTGATCCATGACATCGTCGTCCATCTCTGGACCGAGAATCCAACACTGGTTGAGGAACCACTTCTTTTCAATTTCCTTGATCCTTTCGCAAGTTCCCATCATGTCCCTGCTCTTTGCTACTCGGTTGAGAAAGCTCAGCCGCCCTCCGACCCTTTCATAAACTTCTTCGAGAACTTGGGCGTCAATGCTTTCCTTCCAGTACTTCTGACGGTATCGCTGGAGAGCCGAAATAGCTTGTTGTTTGGGTAGATCAGTGACAGGGAGAACCTCCATTCTGGTAGCAAGCTGTTTGAGGCGCTCATACACCCAGTAGTCATCTGAGTTGAAAACCATAGTGACAATGTTGGCAGCAGCCCACTGTTCAGCCCGTTGCTGCAGTAGTTCAATGACATCTCGACCATCATCATCATGGCGAAGGAGGTGCATCTGGTTGACAATCACCACTAAAGGCTTGCCTCTTTCTCTTCGCTTCTGCATGGCCACTTTCTCCAATTTGTTGAGAGCACGCTCAATGTCCAGAAGGGCCGTGGTTTCGCGGGGACCCCTCTCGCTGAAGTACCCTCCGATGTAATCCTCGTGAAACTCATAATCGAGGGCCTTGCCAAGCCGAATACGGAAGATCTCCAGGTCTGCGTGCGCTTCGAACATGGCAACACCGTCACCCTCATTCTTTCGCATGGCATCAATAAGCATGCTGCTCTTACCAGACCCCTTGTCGCCGATCAAAAGGTAATAATGCCCAACAACGCGCCCCATGACGATGTCATCAATACGCTGCTGCTCTGGGCGGTATATCCAATGTTCGCCAGAACCACCAGGCTGATGAGGAACATCTTTGCCAATTGCAGCCAAATCCAGGACCGGATCCCCTGGCTCAAAAGCATGGTTCATCTTTTGGAGGACGAGCATCTTGTAGAACTTGTGATAAATGTAGCCCGCTGCAGCAAAGCCCAGACCCAACACCACTATGGAAGCAAAGGTCGTGGCCGCGGCCTCTCCCATCTTGCCTAGGAGTGAAGGCTCTGAGGAGGAGGAGGACTTGGGTCCTTTCTGAGTCTCTGCCTCTGCCTCTGCATTATACTCGGGTGCTTCTTCTGCTTCAAAAAGTTAGTAATAGTTCGATTTCATGTCGATTTCTGGGCTTCCAGCAACATGTTACTTGCTATGCAGCGATTCCCACTTTCCAGCGTGATGATCCCCACTTGTAGATCAGAAATGGTTGGGACTGTTGTTCAAAGCCAAGTCTCGATAAGATGCTGACTGAAAGTACCGTTTCTGGAAACAGAAATGCAAATGCCGGAACCCCTGGGCTACCCAAGTTTTGCTGTGAAGAGTCGCCTCTTGATGGGATTGTGTGACAAAAGACAAGACAAGAGTTAAATATCAATCAATACCTTTTCTTTTGTGAGCTTGTGATGAGAATCGTAGCTTGCTGACAACATTGCCATTTGTGCCCCTCGGCCCCAGATACCGAATTTGCGGTCCAACTGGTCGTGCCAAGTTCAAGGAGCTGACAGGTTGGTTGAGGCGACGCACCAGGCGCCCTGAATGCCTCAAAATCATAATTGGTGATTTGCAGTGCAATAGAGAAAGCCGCAAGCAGTTCCACGAGTCAATTGACGTTCCGGCTGAGGCTATCAAGAGTTACACCAACGCCAGTAGGACAAAGGAGAGAAGAAAAAGAAGGGAGTAGGACGACCAGTGGCTTCGTGGCACCAAAGGAACAGTCCAATTCAAGCTTGCCCTGGTCAAGGATCTAAAAACAAAGTTAGCTCAGGTTCCTGGTCGTGCTGCGTCAGAACAGATTCGGAGCCACCAGTGACAGTTAGCTGTCCTGAAACTGGCTGCCATTGGCCTTGGCAGAGAGACTTGACCAGATCCTCGGCGACAGCTGCAGAAGCTCCCCCTGCAATTCCACTGAGCGTGCCCGCTATTCCTCGCGCTAGTGCAAAAACCACTGTAATTTTAGCGGGGAATGCAGGAGGCCTCGTCAATTGAGTTGAGACTCAGCAGGACAGGGGAGTTTTAGATGCATGTCACCGAATGGATCTTTCCCACTCTGAAATGACTTCATGAGATACGGGGTTAACGGGCGGTATCGACAACTTCAGCATCCCGTCAGTAACGAATGTCCTCAATGAATCGAGTCGCTATCAGTCGATCAATAGCAGTCAAATGTACTATTAGGCCTCGTGATTAGTCAACAATGCTCTCAAACAATGGGAGGTGGTCCAACTCATGGAAGGAAGGTGACAAGTGACGCGACCACAAACGATTCTGTCCATATTCATCATGAACAAACGTATCCATAAACAAAAACAACAAGGCGCACCTCGCGCAAACGGTTCTTTCAACAGCCAGCTTGAATACCACGGCTATAGTGGATCAGTCCCTGCCCGCAGACTTTTTTCCTTTCACGCCCTTTCACCTTTATTCACTGCCAAGATCACAATATTCGGCAGCCTTTCATTCTCGAAATATCTTCTTCTTCATTCACAGATCTATTCCTCCCACTGTTTTGATACTCTTCGTCTCTGACTAGTGCATCATGTACGATCGCGCTGTATAAACCTTCTCCTCCGCACTCTGAGCACATATTTCGGCAGAATATCACGAAACGATGCCACCCTATGCTGCTGAACTCGAAACCTGGTGGTTAGGGATAGGCTATGAAGCACTTAAACAATTGGTCAACGATAAATCAGATGACCTTAACTCTCGACAGTGTGGCTTTGCGCAGCAAATGCAAACGAGGCTATTGGCATTCGATAACGACCAAACCATTCAAGCCTCCCTTCAGACAACCTGGCCAGCCATTCGTGCAGCAAGAGGAGTCGACTATGACGCGAATAGTCGCAAGAATTCCAAGTACATAGCTTCCAATATCTTTCGGAAGCCCCATGATGGAGGTATTGACTTTGAACGTGCCATGGATGGCCTCGGCTACCTCGATGCCATCGAAATTCGTCGCCTTCGCCTCCTTGAAGCCACCCATGCTGCCATGGAGACCATCTCACCGACAGAAAGTCAACTACAAATGCTCCAAGAGCTTGATAGGACTTCTACCGCAAATTTTCGGCTTCTACACGCCGGTTTCAGGGCCTGTGTAAGACACATACTGCTCCCCGAATGCGCTTGGTAAACTGACTTACCCTTAGATCCTTATCGAAGAATTGACGAGAGACTCCGAGTGCAGGAAGGAGATCCCTCAAATTATGGGAATGTTCAATGCTCTTATGCCTTCAGATGTGTTTCTCGAAGACGAAGATGATGTCGACCCAACCCCACACTCACCGGGCCTTCGCGACAGTGTTCGGTTTTCTGTCTTTGAGCACCTAATGTCCGACCACCCCTTCTCTCCTCAGCAGCAAGAAGTCATTAAAATGAAGCTGTCTGGCTGGTGCGAGGTCACAGGGTATCCTCAAGCCAGAGATGCCATGGTGAGATATTGTGAAGAGTTCAAGAAGGTGGAAGGTGTGTGCTTAGCGATCATAAACGATCTTGAACGAAAATCATTCAGCACCGGATCGTATCACATAGCATCTCCAACCTCGTCCACGTTGTTTGATACAGACAATTCACGAAGCTCTGGTTTTTCAGCAAATGCAACCCAGGGCGCGAGCGCTATTTTCACAACTACGACTTCAAACGACAACCAGGACTCCGCGCCAACGACACCCTTAAGCCCATGGGCTCTATCGACTTCACATCCCCTACTAAAAGGAATGCCCGGAAGAGAAATGAGCCCAGCTAAAACGGACGGCGCTCTTTTTTCTCAAGATCTCAGCGCACCACCCGTCCTGTCGTATCCTGATAACCTCTCTAAAACAGAGTTCTGTCAGCACCCATTCACCCGAAAGCTTGACATGTCGCCAGTCGAACAAGCGGCTTTGGGTCTTATCCTACCCCGAGAAATTGACAGTCGAGATTTCTAGTACGATCCCGACAGCGACGATGAGGGTAATGACATGCCACCCGTGCCCCCCTTACCACACATTCCTGAGAGACTTAAAGTGCATCTCACACCCAGCGTTTTGGACAAGATCAAAAAGAGAATGCGCTATCAGTCTGATAGATCCGAAAGGACAGACCAAAGTGGTGTGCCGTTCCAGGCACTGGACCAGCACGTGGGCACTTCCACTACACGCAAGTCAGGTGATAGAAAGCGCTGGCCGTCGTTCAAAGCAAACATCTCGGAGCCAATATCTATCATAGGCCCATTTCCGGGAAGTTTGAGCTTTGAAGCCAACAGCTATGAGGCCCCTAATACATCTTCGAGCCCATTACAGAGTCCCAAATCACCCCCGAGACAGGCCACCGTGGGGGGAAGCACCTTCCGGCCTTTCCACAGAAGGGGTAGAAGTACTGGAATGAGTTGCCAACTTACAAAACCACGTCTATCACCTATGGAGTACTGTCGAATGTACCTGATGGAGAAGCACTTATCTGACTGCGAGAATCGACCATGTGAACTTCCATCCCCCGACAAACACTGGTTCTGGACGAACTATTATAAGCAATTTCTGGTAATACCGCAAATACCAAAAGTAATACGGCGTGATTTGGAGCCCATGGCTTTTGGGTTCAATGTAGAAAGCACTGCCGCAGATGAATATGCAGCTGATTCTGATGGGGAATCAGTATCAACTGTAAGGCCAGAAACTTACGCCAATGGACCCATGCGTCTATCCCTTCACTTGGGTGGCGAGCCGATTCTTCTACCCTCATTCATGGATACATTGCGTTTCAACTTGAGTAATGCTCAGTTCAAAAAGGCCTCAGAGTTGGACAAAGAAGCCGGGGATGGTCCTGGAGGCGCGGATCCTGAAGATAGGGATATGGTTGTGCCACGTAGAGGTACGTCATCTGTTTTTCTCCCCTTACTCATTCATAATAACTACTAACGAAATCAGTACCAGCCGGGGGTGAGGTCGAAGATTGGCGGCCTATGAGCGAGTATGAATCAGACGAGAACGATGAGACAGCAAGTGCGACCACACCAATTAAAGCTTCTGGGGACAATCATTCGACCGAGGACACAGGCAAGACCACGAAGAGCACGGTGACTGCGGCTCAACTTGCAAGCTTCGACGATGCAGTGACCCTTCAAAATCAGAATACATCGAGTTTGCCCGACCCGGGCACCCATTCTTCTCGTCAGAGTGTCAAGAGGAATGATCTGATAGGTAACTCAGATCAAGCTGATAGACAATTCCACAACGACCCTGGTAGCTTCCGGCTTTCGAGGCAGTTATCCCGTATATGTAAAGACGAAATGTCTGTTTTTGATTTTGCCACCCCAAGGCCCAGAGGCAAGACTGTTGGCTGTACTCCCCAGCCGCTGGCAACAACAGACACACAGAGTCCCCTTGCTCGTTTCCCTATCGCAGTTCAGCCAACTCATCGATTGACTCCAGGAACACTTACAAAACGTGTTGTCGGTGATTCTGGCGGTAAACTCCTTTTTGAAGATACCCGACAAGCAAGACTAATCCCAAGTCCTGGTGATAAGTACCACCAAGGGCTTTCTGCGGACCTATGGGAGGCCGACACAGAATCAATTATCTCCGAACTTCAACCAAGTCCCTTGCATATCAACCGCCGGAAGCATAGGGCTAACACTGACGAATCTGATCGTAGATGGCCAAGATTGTTTGATAGGGGGTATGCTGATCCGCCTACCACACTTAAGATGCTTAGGATCAACGCCCCAACTGAGATAGGCGATTCCTTCGATCCCGAAGTCTTCGGAGATGATGATGATACTCCAACAGAAGGAGATCGTACGCCTCGTGGGCTAAGACACCAAGAACAAGGCATCCTGCAGGCAACACCTGCGCCAAGAGGCCTTCAACGTTCGGCTTCCACAATCGTTACCCCAACACAGTCTATGAAAAGGCTCGAACACAAAGCATCTTTCAACCTGGAAGCCAGGGCGCAATCAGGTTTTACCCCGGAGCATCGTAGGGAAAGCATTTCGAGGGATACATTCCCCAGGTCTGGCATAATGCTCAACCTCCAGAGCACTCAGGAGCGTCTAAGATGGCCCCCTCGAGATTCTAATGGAATTGAAATGAGTACAAGCATAACAGATAAGACCCCCAAAGCCAGACGCTTGCCTGCGTTGCCGGACTCTGGGCGGCATGAACGCGCTTTTGCACCAAAAGAATGGATGAGGGCTTTCGCAACTACACCCCGAAAGTCCAGAACCATGTCGCGAAACGACGGGCGACTTGAGAACCATGGAGAGGCTTCTTCTGGGGTGGATTGGCGAAATACTTTGTTTCAGCCAAGTGTGACTATGGATGAGGGAGATTTCGAACGTTCAACATCGGCCACTACGCGAGACTTCTCGCAGCCTCACAAGCTCCAAAAGCCGCCATCGCGAGCGAGACTTACTCCCAGCAGCACCTACCGTTCATCAAACCAGCAGATCGACCAATCAACTCGTGCCTCGTCCTTGATGCCTCCCGGAAGTGAGGCAGACGTTCCTGAGCGAAGAACCCCATCACCCACCGCCTCACAAACTACTGTCGTTCCACGAACACCATCCTCGAGCATCG